GCAGCAGCAGCAGCAGCAAACCTTGGCTTTGCTAGAATTCCCTTGGGGTGCAGAATGCCTGTGACCCCCTGCTCTGCATCGATAGCATTGGTGCTGCTGCTGCTGCTGCTGCTGCTGCTGCTGCTGCTGCTGCTGCATCTGCCTCTTCTGCTGTTGCTGCCTGGACTGCTGCTACTGCTTCTGGTGCTCTTGCCAGTGCAGCCTCTGCTGCAGGTACTCCTGCTGCTGCTGCTGCCCCTGCTGCTGCTGCTGCTGCTGCTGCAGGCTGCTGCTGCTGTGTGCTGCCTGGGCCCGGCGGGTCGTCAGGCGGAGAGTCTGTGCTGCGCGCAGTCATCAGGATGCTGCTGCTGCTGCTGCTTCTCCTGCTGCTGCTGATTCTGCTGTTGCTGCTGCTGTTGCGGGGCGTGTAGAAAGCGCTGCATTCGCTGCTTCTGCTGCTGTTGCTGCTGCTGTTGCTGCTGCTGTCGTTTGCTGCTGCCCGAGGCGAACCCACCGGCAGCAACGATGAAGGCAAAATGCTCTCTTGCGTCGGTTCTGCTGCTGCTGCTGCTGCTGCTGCTGCTGTTGCTGCTGTTGCTGCTGCTGCTGCGATGTTCTGCTGCTGCAAGTAGCTTGAGGATGCATCTCTTTGCGCTTCGTCAGCCACCGAAGCAGCTGCCGCTTCTGCGTGCTGCTGCTGCTGCTGTAGGAGCTGCTGCTGCTGCTGTAGCAGCTGTTGCTGCTGCTGTAGTTGTTGCTGCTGTTGTAGTTGTTGCTGACGCTGTTGCTGCTGCTGTAGTTGCTGCTGCTGCTGCTGCTGCTGCTCATGCAGCAGCAGACTGCCCCAGGCCCTTTCCAGGGCCTCCTCTGCTGACTGAAGGAGACGCAGAGAAGGGGAGCGAGCCTGCAGCTCTGCAGCAGCAGCAGCAGCAGCAGCAGCAGCAGCAGAAGCAGCAGCAGCAGCAGCAGCAGCAGGGTCTCGCTGCAGCGCATCGCTCTCAGATACAGGGATAGAATAGGATATCGGGGCGGGGAGAGCACCTGCCCCGCTGCTGCAGTAAGGGCTGCTGCTGCTGCTGCTGGTGTTGCTGCTGCTGCTGTTGCTGCTGCTGCTGCTGCTGCTGCTGCAGCTGGTGCTGTCGTAGGCTCCCTGGGGCGCTGTGGGGCCCAGCGGGGTCTT